ACCCAGCTCCCAAGTAAATCACACACAGAGGCTTATTCTTACTTATGAATGTCCAGCCTTAGCTTGGCTTGTTTCTAACCAGCTTTTCTTATCTTAAATTAACCCACCTACCTTTTCCCTCTGGGTTTTTATCTTCCTTACTTCTGTTTATCTTTCCTTCTTACTCTAGGGCTGACTGTGTGGCTGGATGGCTGACCCCTGATGGCCTCCTCTCCTCGTTTCTCCTTCCATTTATACTCTCTGCCTGCCAGCCCCGCCTATCCTTGCTCCTGCCTTGCTATTGGCCATTCACCTCTTTATTAGGGCCACCAGGTATTTTAGTCAGGGCACAGTAACCCAATCTCAGAGTTAAACAAATGCTGCATAAATAAAAGTCACACACCTTAAAATAATATTCTACCACAGTTATGCATGAAGAGGTGGACAGAGGTTTCTTTGGCTGTTGGTAATATGGTATGGCTGTGGGGTTGTTGGTTGTTGGTTTTTGGGTTTTGGTTGTTTTTTTTTTTTTTTTTCAATCTTAAGTGTTACTTCCGATTCTGCTTTTGGCTTACACCACACTGAACATTGTATGAAATAAATACATAAAGTTTCTGAGCTAATTTAAACTAAAAGTAAGACAGAACTAGGTGTTCCGGTACACACCTTTAATCCCAACACTCGGGAGGCAGAGGCGGGCAGATCTCCGTAAGCTTGAGGCCAGCCTGGTCTACAGAGTGAGTTCCAGTCCAGCCACTCTGCATAGTGAAACCCTGTTTCAAAAAGAAGGGATGGTCGTGGTGGTGGTGTCATGGCTTGGTGGGAAAAGCTGCTTACAGTTCAAACCTGGTGACCCAAGGTCAGTCCCCAGAACCCATGTATCCCCAATATCTAACATTTCCCCAGTATCTGTCACTGCCTCTCTCTCCCTCTCCTTCCCCTCCCTGCTTTCCACACACATACAAATTTTGTTTATGTACATGAGCACATATCAACCTTGTTTTTCTTTAACCTACATTATGCTTATAAAGGAAATCCATGGCTGCATGATTCTCTGCCTACTTCCCTCATTCTCACTTCCTTCCCTCCCATCCATTTGTGTTCAGCCTTTGGACTGTTTTATTGTTTGTTTGTTTTTTTTTTTTAATTTTGTTTTGCTTCCTGGCAGTGCTGGGAATCAAACCCAGGACTTGCAGGTGCTAGACACAAGCCAGAGTCCATCCTGGCCTTTGTTCATCCATATTTCTATCATTCAACAAACATTTACTGGACAGCTACTATATGTCTAAGATCATGGAGGATGAAAAGGATTCTTGGTGCGCTCTAGACACTCAGCATCCTCCTCATCATTAAAACTTAACTTTTATTTGGAATGACTTTAGACTTATAGAAGATAGTTACAGGAACTAGAGAGATGGCTCAGTGGTTAAGAGTGCTGACTGCTCTTCCAGAGGACCAGGGTTTGATTCACAATACTTACATGGTAGTTCACAACCATCTGTAAATCCAGTTTCAGAAACTCTGATACCCTCTTCTGGTACTTCACACACAGTGCACAGGCATGCATGCAAGCATAACACCCATACACATAAAATAAAAATTTAAAACAACTTTTTAAAAGTAACTAGTGGGCCTGGAGAGATGAAGTGCATTTGCTTTCTCTCCCAGAGGACCCAGGTTTGATTCCTAGCACCCATGTACCAATTTACAACTATGCATAACTCCAGTTTCAGGGGATCCAATGCCTTCTTCTGACCTCCGTGGGCACAAGTCTCTTGTGGTACAGATACATACATGCAAGGAAAACATTCATACACTTAATTTTTTTTGTTTTTGTTTTTCAAGACAGGGTTTCTCTGTGTAGCTTTGGAGCCTATCCTGGCACTCGCTCTGGAGACCAGGCTGGCCTCGAACTCATAGAGATCCTCCTGCCTCTGCCTCCCGCGTGCTGGGATTAAAAGTGTGTGCCACCAATACCCGGCCATACACTTAGTTTTTAAAGATAACTGGGAAAATATCAAAAAGAAGTTAGTTGCCAAGAGTGGGTGCAGAGTTCCAGTGTGTCCTTGTGAGTTTCAGTTTTCCTTAACATTATTACATTGTTACCTTCCATCACTGCTCCCTCTACTGAGCTTAGGAGCCAGGGAAGCTGCAGTCATCTGGCTTTTCCCAGTAGCTCCTGAGTCAGAACGTTATTACTCTGCAGTAGTGTTGTGTCTCCTTAATCTCTTGGGCTCTCTAAACTGTCTTATATTGTTGACCTTGACAGTTTGACTGTTCAGCTATGTTTTCAGAATATCTGTTTTCTTATTGAAATGTGATTATAGACACAAACAAATTAAAACAAACAAGCAAACAAACAAAAACAAACCAGTGGAGAGAGAAAAAAAAAACAAACCAATGAGGGCACCAGATTTTATATATATATAAAACAACTTTTAAAACAG